ATAAAGAGTACAATTGATAATTGCGTCAGAATTATATTGATATTTGATGAAAGTGAAAACTATTACGATAACGATTTGTCCTGCATCAATAAAATTATTAGATGGATCAATTCTATTGCGAATTTATCCATTATTGCATACGGACTAAATTTACGTAATCGTATACCCGCATTTACATAGGAAATACGTGAAGTAATGTGAATATGACAATGAAACACAATCATATTCGTTCCTAGTGTATGATGAGTTTCTAAAAATTTTCATATTCATGCATGTTCATTCCCATTCCTGTAGTTGGATGATTTGCCACAAAATGTCACTGTGCCTGAATATTCACTATGAGAAAGGGGAAATCAAATGATAGTTATGAAGTGCCATCTTGTTCGAAAAAATTATTTGCAGATGAATATACTGAGGTATTTTGAAAACTATGGAATTTCACTCTCCTTTGGATATTTCGGAAACCAATATGCTTCCGTTTGCAACATAATGATGTCTCAAGCACAGTTCTGGCAGACTCAGAAAACAGTGAGACCAATTCTTTCCCAAACAAAGCTGAGAAATGGTGAACAATCATTGAAGAATTCTATTGATACCCTTCGGGAATTCAGAGGGTACTTCAAATCCCTATTTCCGAGTGAAAAAAGTGGTACTTCAAAGCCCTCGGGATTTAAAGTACCCCTTTTCCCCGAAATCTGGATCACCATGGGTACTGAGGGCGTTGACATAGTAACAATCAGCACCTTCGAATACGTTCGGTGGTTTTACCAATAGAGTACCTACCATTTAGTGGCATTTTAGTTATTTATGCAACAAGTGCAAAAAGTGAATGTTTATCCAACTCGGCCTAACGGCCTCGTCGGACAATTTCACGTCGAGTGCAATAAACAATTTTTGCACGAGTTGCATACAAAATTTTTTCTACGTTCATGCAAAAAGCAAAAATTGCATTGAAACAGGAACTAATACGTTACGAACAATTTAACTCAAACTTTATTTTTACCCTCAATGTTGAAAGTGGATGAACAATTGGTGCAATTTTCAATATGAATATATGACGTTTCTATAACCACAGTTGCAATATAAAAAATGTTTGTCATGATGACAGCACGTTGAAGTAGAATGACAGATGAGTGCAATAAAAACTTTATTGCACTAAGTGCAATAAAGAACTTTTTTTTCCACTAAATATAGTTCAATAAAGTTCTGCTTTTTGCATAAATGTAGAAAAAATTATTTTTTCGTTATTTTTTACGTTTTACTTATCCCAAAGAGCATAAATCAGTATACACATTTCAGGACTAAAGTGTTTTTAATCCCTCGACGAATTATATAGCCCTCCCGTTTGTCCTGGAATTCAAAATACCACTTCAGTCCCTAGGTGTATGATGTATTATTGAAGCATATACAGGGTGCCCGAACTTAAGCATGATAGGAATCTCGGTTATCTTTAGAGATAAGATGTTGCTCAAATTAGGACGCATTCTGGTGCTGAACAATAATCTGAAAAAAAACTGACCTATATTTCAAAATATCGCCGAAAAACTGAACTTGTTTTTACTTTCTTATAGGAAAACTACGAAAGCGTAGAAAGGCCACTGTTGTGTATATTTTATTTTATTACTTTATTGAGATTTTTTGTCTGAATTCAGACTTTTTCCTCTGAATTCAGACTTTTCTCTCTGAATTCAGACTTTTTTGTCTGAATTCAGACTTTTTCTTCTGAATTCAGACTTTTCTCTCTGAATTCACAATTTTTTCTCTAAATAGAGACTTTTTTCTCTGAATTCAGACTTTTTTCTCTGAATTCAGACTTTTTTCTCCGAATTCAGACTGTTTGCCTTAACTTAAATGCATTGAATACACATTCACATTAGGTAATACCGAAGGTAATATACTGATTTCAGTAAGTACCTTTTATATGTCATTTAGTTTTCATGGGGTTGATGTTGATGATTAATTATACTATTATTTGCAGGTCAGTACGCCGAAATGTGGTTATAATGAATAATGTGATGCTCGTTCAAATATATTTATACCCTATATAAAAAGCGAGAGTTTCATAGGGTCCTGCATCTCACCTCAATTGTATCATAAAGCGCATACCAGGAAAATAATTTCGATTATACAGGCTGTCCCTCCGGGAATGGTAATAACTTTCGAATTTCAAATGGAACACCCTGTATATCATTGCATTTTCAAATTTTGCATCATTTTCTGAATCAAATGATACCATATGAGTGACATTTCAAACTTCAATATTGATTTCAATTTAATTTTAGATTTTCCATTTGAGTGTGCCATGACTATTCTGATCGAGTCTGATTTACTAATATTGTCAGGTTGTAACGCTAAAAAAATTCAATCCTGTCAAAAATGTTAAATTTGTTGATTTATCACCAATTTAAGTTCATCAACATGGCTTGGTGTACCATGATCCTGTTACATCCGGTATATATGGTGATGTGTAGTATGAGTCTGAATTCAGACAAAGAAGTCTGAATTCAGATATATAAAAGTCTAAGTTCTGGCTAGAGTCTGAGTTCGAGAAAAAAGTCTGAATCCAGACTTTAAAGTCTGAATAAAGGAATAAAATAAAATACACACAACAGTGGCCTTTCTACGCTTTCGTAGAAAACCGATCAAGTTAGCCATTTTTAACCGAAACATTCTCAATGCAGTTTTTTGCAAGGAATTCGAAAATGTTATCACATTTTTTTTAGCACACGAAGAAAGAAACAAACGACAGTCAACTTTTTTCTTCTTATGGACGCATTCCGACGTTGAACTACATAACATGTTTTGGTTTCATATCATAGTCGAAATTTCCTAATTAACATTTTTCCGAAGATTGCCATGGAAACAAATTTGTCGAATTTGTTGAAGTATTGTATTTATTATTCTTGATAAACTTTCCCAACTTGTTAACACGTCAATTAAAAAAAAGGAATATATTTTGGGAATCTTAAAAATTTATTTTCTATAACTTTTATATAAGATTAATATGTATGTTCTTGAGAATTATAATTTCTCAAAGAGCTCTCTGTGTGATTTACAGTCCAAGCCACACATTGTGATTTCGGTATATTTTCCACCATCAACGAAAAGTGTCCTTTCGATACGTTTTTACATACCATTTTTGGCAAGTACCTGCCGCCTATCCACCACACAATTTTTTTTTAGCTTTTATTCAACTTGAAATCTTTGAATACAATTTTGAAGTAGATATCTTCAACTGATTGAGCTGAATTTTTGTATACTCGTTTATTTTGGATAACAATGTACGATAAGGTGTGTGAAGTTATTCTAAATCCAATATGGTGGATCATCCAAGATGGCGGACTAGCTATTTTTAATGCACTTCAACAATATGGGTTTCAAATGAGAAGGCTCGTTGGGAGTAACTCGAAAAATGATGTGAGGTCATTCTGAATTCAATATGACGGACCATCCAAGATGGCGGAATAGTTATTTTTTATGCACTTCTACAATATGGGTATCAAATGAGAGGGCTCGTTGAGAGTAACTCGAGAAATAATGTGACGTCATTTTAAATCCAATATTGAGGACCATCCAGGACGACGTACCTAATAGTCATTTTCAATGCACTTCTACAATATGGGTATCTAATGAAAAGGCTTGTTAAGAGTAACTCGAAAAATAATGTGACGTCATTCCAAATCCAATATGGCAGACCATCCAAGATGGCGGAATAGTTATTTTCGATCTACTATTACAACTCGGAAAACTATGTAACGTTATTCTAAATCCAAGAGGACGGAATTGTTTTTATTCATGCACTTCTGCAATATGAGTATCAAATGGAAGGGCTTCGAGTAGGGTAAAATCAACAATTAACCGGCAAACGACCTTGCAACAATGATGCGTAGAATGAAATGAACAAATTGAGAAATCTGGCAAGCGATAACTAAAAATCAAGAAATAAATTAATAGTAAAAAAATATTTGCAATAAATAGTTATTTATTATACAAGGGAAAAAAGTTGTAGATTTTAGCGCCAGGTTGTGTTGTCTCCCGACGCGTAGCGGAGGGAGACAAATAACCGTGAGCTAAAATCTAATATTTTTCCCGTGTATAATACACTATTTTTTTCTGTGACAGAAGAAAGGACGACTCAATATTGAGGAGATATTACATTATTTTGAAATCTGAAGATTATCGACGTGAAATTTTAACTTTTTAACAGTAGGGACACCTGCGTTGTAGGCATCTTTATTATTTTTTTGAAGTAATCAAATATCTGATGTCACTTCTGTCAGTCTAATTCTGTGATTCGATCTCAAAAAATTGCGAATTTAGTAATAATTGTTCAGTAATATACGTAACCGCGAAGTCGAATGGAAGATGAAAGGACTTGCAGTTCTTTCTCGGAGACAGTATTATAGTGACTCACTTTTCGGAACTATAGCACAACAAGAGCCATCAACAGTGTATATATATGTGATATATATCCGGGAAAAAAGTAATCTATAAAAAGTGACATTTCATAACCTGCCAACAGAGATGAAATGCCAAATTTTCTTCCTGTCACAGAAAAAAAGCTTTTATTCCAACGCTCTTAAAAGAATGAAATAAAATGTTCCTTTATAATTTCAACTATTAACTTATAACCTCATTATACACAATAAAATTTAAACTCAGCAGATTTTTCAAAATTAAATCGGTAATAGTTTATTCACACAAGTAAATCGCACGACAAGCTTTCATGATCATATTATAAATTGTGTATAATGAGGTTCTAAGTTGATAGTTGAAATTATAAAGGAACATTTTATTTTCTTCTTTTCAGAGCATTTAAACAAACATTTTTTTTCTTTTAATTTATTCTTCCACATAATTCAATGGAATTAAGAAATCCATCATCGTTCAAGCATCCGTCAAACTCGTCTGGAATATCAAACTACCAGACCGAATGAAAGTGAATTCTACCACCCTCCTAAACCGATCATCTGTCGGCAGGTAGGCAAACGGACTTTGATGGCTGATGGTACCCCTATATGGGTCGCGTATAAAACACCTGAATGGCTCTTCTTCACTTATTTGAGGTGAAGAGTAAAACACGGTCACATATTGCCATTTCTCTTCTTCAGCCATCGGTGTTCGGTGTTCTCGCGTTTACTTTTGTTTCACTTTCTCTACGGGTCATTTGCTTATCAAAGACATTTATGGATGCTGTTTCGATCGCAGTTCAGTGCTTATAAGTGTGATTTATTTGTTGACAAGGATACCTTGGAGAGAGGATATATACCGCCGGTTCTGTTGTGTGATTTTTGTTTGGATATTTTGTGATTTATTCATAAGGTAGGATATTCATTATCGTGTATTGATTGAAAATGAGTTTCATAACTGAACTTTTTAACTTATAAACAATTATTAATTTTTTTAACACTAGCACTCCTCGTAGCACTCAGAATATTTCTGTGGAATATTCTCAGAATGTTCTCACAAGGTGTACTGAACGTTCTGAGATAATTCTAAGAATACCCAAATGGAACGAAAATTCACGTTCCAAGAACGTTCTCATAATATTTTTCGGAACATTCTCAGAATACCCTCAGAATATTCTCAGTAACATCAGAATATTCTGAGAACGTCCTCATAATCTTCTCGACAGCATTCCTCTGGATGATCTTGTTATATTCTCAGTATAGAGGGTATCTGAAAGCGCAAAGAAAATATTTCAGGGATCGATGGATCGAGAAAAATATTTATTTTCATGATTCTATGTCCCAAGAGGGACCATTAGGGTGATATTTATTTCACATATTTTAAAAACTATCACCCAAACTGTTACAGTTCAAACATACATTTTTATACAGATACGGATCACGGATGCTTCACGAATATCACGATGTTTGAAAGCATATATGAGTTTTAGCCTCTGTTTTAGCGCCCCTAACGAATAGAAACAAAGTAATTGAAAAAAACAGCGGTTAAATTGATTTCACATAAGGTAGCCATGACAACTTTAATCGGCGAAAAATATTTTGAATAAACAATGACAATTTTTTCTGAAAATTTTGACTCCTTGTAACCCAGAAACGGAAGATCTGAATAATATATTCAATTAACATACCTGGGGAACATACCTCGAATATTCGTACCTACAATACATTCTGCGATCATTCCTGAATAACATTTATAGAATATAATGGAATATTCTAGGAACGTTCCTAGGATATTCAGATGAATTGTTCTATGAATGTTCTCATAAAATAATCTATGAACACTCTGAATATCCTTATTATATTTTATATTCTATGGAAATTCTTTGGAATATTCTGACGGAGGTATATGTTGCGAACGTTGTGAACGTTGTGAGAACATTCATAGAATATTCTGTGGTGTCTGGGCTATGGAACGGGATATAATCTTGGCTCCTGAGCAATATCGATATTCTTCACTACTTTAGTGTATAATTAATTATTTCCCTGCAATCGTGAGGGAGTACTTAGCGTACTGTGCCTAATACTTAGCAACGGCCGCCAAACCGAACGTCACTTCCGAATATGATATTCCTAAACTACGACAATAGCTCCGAGAATAGCTCTAGCTTATTCAGTATCAGATTATATTCGTTATGTCAAGACCGCTCGAAATATTTTTTCCCGGCACAGAAAATAGTAATTTTCCAAAGGTATGCGGAAAATGATTCTTTCCCGCACGCGACTGCCGTTGACACGAACGACGCGAAGCGAAGTTCGGGCAAGCAGTCGAGTGCGGGAAAGACACTTTCCGCATGAGTTAGGAACAATATTTTTTCTACAAGCGCAGGAAATTGATTGATTCGTTCAATTAATTATTCATGCAGTAGGCCCATAAAGAGTTTGGTCTCTGGGTTCCAGACACATATATGAAATGAGCCAAAAATACCTATTCTTCATTCGGTATTTTCATTTCTTTGTTGTTGCACCATTCAATAAAACGCGTGTATAGCTTCTCATACCTTTCTCAAGACTTCGTTGGTAATAACGCATCTGTATCGAATCCCTATAGCTAGAAGTTTTTGATCACATTGTGGCATTTCCACTGAATCGAAAATGACACTAACGCTGTGTCTGTCACTTCGACAATTTCAAACTTATATTTGAGGTTTGATGTGCATGATAACAATAATCGTTTCCCATCAGATCTATCCAAATCTCTAGGGGGATTTTTATAATAATGAATTTTTATTTCTCAACATTTCTTAATTTTCACAATGAATAGTGCAATTTGATGGATGATAATGAACATACATACTTAATACTGCAACAAAACAAACATAAACTTTCATATTCCATCACCAACCATTTATATTATTAGGGATTTTATCATATCCTTGCTCCCGCATTAGTGTGGGAAAATTTTCCCACACTGTTGCGGGAAAATGACACTTCCCAAACCAAATTGCGTGCGGGTATAGGGTGAATCACGCACGCTTGTAGAAAAAAAAGTTTGACATTCCATCTCTGTTGACAGGTCATATAATGTCACTTTTTGGCGACCTCAAGATTATCTTGCCTCGATGGAAACAGCATAGACGTTAACCTTTCTGTCGGCATGTCTATAACAGGTATTTCGCGGCCTATAGGCGTACAGATAACTATTCCAGCATAATGTTCTGATTTTTGTACATTGTCACAATATTTGTACCTAAAGAAGTAGGCATTGGTACAAATAATCGAGCAAATAATATACTAGCTGCGAGACTAGATGTTATGGAATGAGTTGAATGGATTCATAGGATGATTTAATGATCAAACAAGTTTTGAGGCGACCATCAAAAGAGGGCAGTTTGGGATGAAACCTATGTATACCCGAGTGTATACCTACAAGTGGTTTTTATAAAATTTCAAATATTTCGAAAAATGTGAGACTCTTATACTAGGGACAAGTTGTTATTTTCGATAGTATGGGATCTCGCATGGTTATTCTCGTTATCATCAGCCGAGTCATCAGCTACTTCATTGGTGTGTATGTGTGTTTCTTTATCTCTTGGAACGCACGAAAGGGAATTCCTAGGATGTTCGAAGAACATCGTGCGTACACACCTCGGTACACACCAACTGGCTATCAACCTCATGCGAGGTCCTTCATCCCTTCTGTGTTTTGTGTAGGCTTTTTCATTGACTCCATTCGTCACCTTTTAGGATTAGAACTGGTTAAGTGGAAAGCACCGTTCATGAATTAGTAGTGTTTGCTCTACAGGGGATTCGATCATGGACCCCTCAGGCGATAGTGAACTATATAGTTTGGGTTAGTATTCCAAAATAATGAGATACGATTTTACACTGAAACAGACCCATTGTTGAATACAATAAATTACTCTTGAAGCAAATTCAGATCTATTGAAAATATGAACAGAGTTCTAGGAATAAAAAATGGCCAAACAGAAAACATAACTAATCATAATGTCAAATGATATCTAATTCTCGAGCCTACATGATGATGATCTAATTAGAGAAATTGCACTCATTATGAAATTGATAAATTATGTTTACTTAATTTGATAGTTAAATTGGTAATCGTTTCGGAAAGTTCAGCAATTATTAGGTACTCAAATTGGGAAATTGTATGAAGCCGAATATTAGCGATGTTGCTGGTTATACCGGGTTTTACAAAATATCCCAAAAATATTTTGTCGCATTTGACCGGCTTTTATAATTTAATGTAAAAATCTAGTCAATATCAGGGGAATATCTGAACGTATAGCCGTATAAATATGATATTTTCAAAAATGGCTCTGCTGAGTTCGCCCGAAGCCAGCAAAGCCACAGGTTTGTTTTGAAAAATATGCAGAAAAAAAATTCAAAATGCGATAGTTATTGAGCTTATAATCAATACCAACACTATGTCTTGAAAAATCGTCATAAAATATGCTTTTGATAGAAATACAGAATGTACAGTGAATGACGCGTATTTCGAAAAATTTTCTTGTATTTTTTCTGTTTGAAACGTTGAGCGAAAAATTCTAAAATAGGGTAATTAATTAGCCTGAAATCAGCTCTTCAATATGGATATATCAAATAAGTGAAAAATGTATTATTTCAAAAAATGGCTCTGCTGAGTTCGCCCGAAGCCAGCAAAGCCACAGGTTTCTTTTAAAAAATATGTAGCAAAAAATTCCAAAATGTGATAGTTATCAAGCTTACAATCAATACAAATACTTTGCCTCATGAAATCGTCATAAATTATATGATTTTGATAGAAAAACATAATGTGAAGTGAATGACGCATATTTCGACTAATTATCTTGTAGTTTCTCTGTTTGAAACGTTGAGCAAAAAATACGAAATTAGGGTAATTAATTAGCCTCAAATTAGCCCTTTAATCTCAATATATCAAATCGGTGAAAAATCTATGTTTTCAAAAATGGCTCTGCTGAGTTCGGCCGAAGCTAGCAAAGCCACAGATTTTTTTATGATAGAGAGGAGCAAGAAAATTGTTAATAGGGTAATAAATTAGCATTAAATGAGCACTACATTCTCACTATATCAGATATTCAAAAAATATTGTTTTTAAAAAATGGCTTTGCTGAGTTCGGCCGAAGCTAGCAATGCCACAGATTTTTCTATGATAGGGAGGAGCAAAAAATTCGGGAATGGGGTAATAAATTAGCCTAAAATGAGCCTGAAATTATTTGATGTGTCTCATGTTGAAATTCGAAAGTGGCTTTGCTAGCTTCATCGGTTTGTTTGACTAGCGATTTTTGAAATATCTTGGAGCAGGAAAGAATATAATGTTTATTCCTCGGCCTCGGTTTATTCCTTCAATTCGATCTAGATAATTCACGATGATTCCAGATGATTCCACGAATCGAATCAACTTTACACTTACTAGATATATATAGTTGGTATTCATTTTATGTTCACATTGATTTCAATAACAATATTCCTCGCGATATTCTCTATTAATAGGTCAATTCTCAAGATAAGTTTTCATGAATATATTATTTGATCATTTAATTTCTGATGAATTCGTTTTTGAGATAGGTACTTATTGATTTGAACATAACATTTGATTACTTTTCTGAATATGGTACCCAAGATGGTACCCACCCCATTTGAATTCTGTATTAGTTAGTGGAAGTCCGAATAATCCATATATGACGGTAGTTGATAATAGAATTTAGGAGTTTTTGGTTTACTCTGATGTATGAACTTAGAACATGCCACTTACATACTTCATATAAATTTCTAATTCATAATGTAGGTTAGTAATCAAATTATTACATTTCCGTCGAGATTTCCGTATACTCAATTATAAAACACTTGCTGCTGAAATGGTTATTGATATGATTAGTAAATATTTATAGTACCTAATCATATTATCAGTATATCGGCAGAATTTTCTCGGAAAAAAAAAGTTATGAAAATAATTTCCTATATTGACAAGACCCCTATGAGAGATGGGAATATCATTCAGCTCTCACAAGTAGTAGAGAGTCGATCGTTACGTAAAATAAAAACAAATTTAATGTCATTATAACATTTACTTGCACTACCGGAGCATTAATACGGTTCTTGAACTGAGTGATTGCTTACTTAATTCGAGCTGATTGCATTTGGAAAATTAATTGAGATTTATTCGGTAATTAGAGCATCAACAGTTAGTTCGAAAACATGAATTCTGCAATCAGGAGGGCAAATAGTTATTCGTTTTACTAGGCAGGAAAGTGATAGTTTGACTGCCGCGGTTGATAGTTCATATTCGAGCGTAGCGAGGCTGAGAATTCAGCCGCGGCAGTCAATCTACATTTGCGACCGTGTGAAACATAATATGATGATTCAAATCATGAAAACCATCCATATCTCAAAGTGGTCCAAAGTAATTTCAAAAGAAAATGAAGAAAAAACAATAAATCATGGTAGAAAGTAGGAACTATACGATTTTCGTCAACGCGTTGGAAGAATCTTGTCTGATGATGGCCGTAGTGCCGAAACCGGTTACTTTTCAATGAAGGTTTCATATAAAATGTGGTCGACCGACTTCGTGTCGCATATTTTTTCCTTTTTCTTTTGATATGATTTTTTCTCCAAATGTTATGAAACCAATTTTGAGTATTTTTTTATCGAAAACTCCATTATTTTGTGTTCACCCAATTTCCTTGTCAATTCTGATAACCGATTCCTTCCAAATTACATAGCAACCATTTTTTCCTGCCCAGGCAGAGAAAGAACACATTTCCTGCCTAGGCAGAGAAAGTACACATTTCCTGCCTAGGCATAAAAAGTACACATTTCCTACCTGTCAAGTATTATAGATGAGCCACTTTCCCTGCTGCTTGGAAAACATAGTTATTCGTTTTTCTAGGCAGGAAATCACGACATTTAAGGTTTTCTCCGAATTCGTCCAATTTCTCGCAAACTCCAGATAATTCATCATCTTGTGTTCACCCAAAGTCATTGTCAAGTTTGATTACCAATTGAAGTTTTTTCTATCTTGAACGAGAGAGAGGAAGGTAGGTATACTCTCCTCTTCCATCTTTCTCTTCAATGATACCAAAACGTAGCCGCATTGAAATATAGAGCGGTCTGATAAATCTGTCCTTGTCTAACATCTAGTTTGTGCCATTGAACTATTTTTGAATTCAGCATAGAGTAAAATTTAACGATGTCAACAAATGATGACAAAATAAGTATGATATAATACGAAATTAAATTTGAAAAATTGAAAGGTTATCAGTAAATGACATTTGTGACATGTCACATCACATCAACATCGAGAATAGTCCAGTGGCGCAGAGTAGACGTCAGACAAGGAAAGATTTAACGGATCTTTCTATATTTCAATGCGGCCACGTTGGTAGCACTGAAGAGGAAGATGGAAGAGCAGAGAAGTTTCCTCTCTTTTTCGTTCAATGTAGAAAAGCGATTCGAATTATTACTTGGAATGTTGCTTAGCAACAAACTTTTTCGGCCTGTAGGCATTACTTTTCTGTCTAGGCAGAGGAAGTACAACTGTCATGTCGGTCAAATGTCATTAAAAAGCCACTTATTTCTGTGTCATTTGAAAAAAAAATCTGTTCTTGATTAGTAAAATAACCAAAATACTTATACTGAAATGATTATAATTTGAAGGTAATAATATGTTGATTTTACTTGATTCTTTGGGATTTTCTCTCCTCGTTTCTATAAAATAAAATTATTCGTATTATTTCAATATATTTGTAGAGGGACAAATCAGATGATTTGCCCCAAAATGTCACTGCGTTTAACAAATTTTTCTATCAGCGAGACTAAAAGAAGAATCCAGTAGCTTGTCAGTGACAATTTGTTTGAAAAAATGTTCGAAGGAGAGAAATATAGATATATTGAAAAAATATCGAATTTTTACTTATCTTTGGACGATTCGGGACCGATTCTGCTCCCTTTCTCAACATGTAAATGCAAAATATGTTTCTTTGAAAGTTGTGCTGCTTATACAGGGTGTTATTTAAGTACGTGGCCAAACTTGAAGGGGTGATTCTTTGAGTGATTCTAAGACGAAAAGTTCATATAAACATAGGTCCGGTAATGCTTCGTTTTCAAGATACAGGGTGTCAAAATTTTAAAAAAAAATCGTTTTTTTCGTAAATATCTTAATAACCCTTCAACCGATTTTATTGAAATTTGGCAGTGTTATTCAAGGTCGTAAAGGGCTAATTTAACCCTAACTTTATCAGAATTATCATGTCCAGTGGCGTCCCGGAAGGCACTGTAACCAATATTTTTGACAGAAAAAATGTGCGCCACTGATTTTTTTGCAATTTTTGTATTTGTTTCACATTGAGCAACTAAAATTACAATTTTTTTATATCTAGAATTTTTTTCGTATCTTGCTTTGTTTTTGAGAAAAAACATAAAAATCACTTCATGGCACGTCCCTGGCACAACACAATAAAAAATTGTTTTTATAGAGTTTTTAATGATTACAGGTGAATCTGTTATGCTTAAAAATTGTTTGTTTCATTTGGCCAGTGCGTGCATAGTGGTAACGCCGGAATAACACTGCCAAATTTCAATAAAACCGGTTAAAGGGTTATTAAGATATTTACGAAAAAAACGATTTCTTTTAAAAATTTCGACATCCTGTATCTTGAAAACGAAGCATTACCGGACCTATGTTTATATAAACGTTTCGTCTTAGAATCACTCAAAGAATCACCCCTTCAAGTTTGGCCACGTACTTAAATAACACCCTGTAGTTTGACACTTTTCAGTGTCATACTGATGATGTTGGCATATGAATGAGTTACAGTTTCATTATTTGATCTTGAATCTACCATTTTCATGTTCAGTTTTCAGTAGTGAATACCATGGTCTATCTATATCAACTGAACTGGAAGCAAGGAGAGAAAATCCCTCGAAAAATCCCAAAGAATCAAGTAAAATGAATTTACCACCTCCTAGATTAACCTACAGAGAATATTCAATATTTTGAGTGTAGATATGAATTCTATATGTTGTAATTTTGGTTTCAGGTTATTCATGGATGGTTGCAAACTCCTAGAGATCCCTCAAATATCGCTAAAGATCCGTGGGAACTGGATGATGTCCACATAGATTCCGTATAAATTCAACAGTAGTTCAACAACAATAAAAATTCAGGCGACATGTTGAAATATAAGGTAACTACCTACCTCTGTGGATCAATTCACCTTCACTAGAAAGATGAACAATAATTTTCACTTCTTCTCATCAAAAGCAGATGATAGTTCCTTATACACCAGAGTAGTAAAGAATATTATTATTACTCAGGGACCAAGATTATATATAAGGTCCCGTGGTGATGATATTCTCCACTACCAAGGTGTATATTAATTTTTTTTCACCACTAGCAATATATATTTTAATCGTATCTTATGTCACTATGAAAACACTTCTTTTCAATTTTAATTAAGACCTAGTCACCATGACAGCATATGTCAAGTCGTTATTGATAAATACCTTCTAGATTCTAGTGCAATTTCTGTGAATATCGCATCAGAACAGTGAATTCCGATTAATTATATCAGAGGTGGCAATGTCTTCATTGACTACTGGTTTATTGAGATGACCAAAACTACCTTGGTAGTGAAAACACACCTTATGCCTTCAAAGAAGTAAATAATGGTAGGTTATATAGCTAGTGGTGAAAAAAAAACATTTTTTCTGTGACGGGAAAAAAGTTTGGCATTTCATCTCTGTTGGGAGGTTAAAAATGTCACTTTTCATGAATTACTTTTTTCCCGTGGGAAAAAAGTGAGTACTTTTTTCCCGGATATACAGTGTGTCGTCCCACTTATCATGCTCACCATGAGTATCTTTTTAACGGTGAGAGATACGAGGTCGGTTGAATGACACCAAATTTGGAGTTTGTCAAGGCCAACTATAATGTGAAAAAATATTTTCATAAAAAATCTATTCGTTTTTGTTTTATACGCAAAAAACAGATTTTGATCATTTTCATGTCACCTCCATAACTTCTTTATTCATGAAAATATTCAAATAGGAATTTCACATTCTCATGGCAGTTTTTCAAAGTGATTTCGAAAAAATTATGAAATTTTCACCAACTCTTCTAGAATTTGAGATATCAGCACCAACTTTAGTTTTTCAAATGTAGGTCAAAGCTCACTATGACTTAGTTACAAATAACTTTTTTTTCTCTCACAGATGATATGTCGCAGTAATAGTTTTGTGTTGATAACAACGGAGTTATCGTCATTTGAACAAAAACAAAAAATTATTTGGAAGCCGCCATCTTGAATTTATGAATTCTAACAAAAAAAACATGATCTCCGACCTCAAAAACCCCCACTCATCAATTTCGAATGGAATCGGACCAAATCTTGTCCGCCATCTTGGAGCAGCCATTTTTTTTAATGTCAACAAAAATTCCATAACTCCGATTAACGTGAAATTTGGCAGGTGTTCATAATTTCGGTAACAATACATTATGGAATTTTTGTTGAAATTAAAAAAAATGGCTGCTCCAAGATGGCGGACAAGATTTGGTCCGATTCCATTCAAAATTGGTGAGTGGGGGTTTTTGAGGTCGAAGATCATGATTTTTTGTTAGAATTTATAAATTCAAAATGGCGGCTTCCAAATAATTTTTTATTTTTGTTCAAATGACGATAACTCCGTTGTTATCAACACAAAACTATTACTGCGACATATCATCTGTGAGAGAAAAAAAAGTTATTTGTAACCATGTCATAGTGAGCTATGACCTACATTTGAAAAACTAAAGTTGGTGCTGATATCTCAAATTCTAGAAGAGATGGTATAAATTTCATATTTTTTCCGAAATCACTTTGAAAAACTGCCATGAGAATGTGAAATTCCTATTTGAATATTTTCATAAATAAAGAAGTTACGGAGGAGACATGAAAATGATCAAAATCTGTTTTTTGCGTACAAAACAAAAACGAATAGATTTTATCAAAATATTTTTTCACATTATAGTTGGCCTTGACAAACTCCACATTTGGTGTCATTAAACCGACCTCTTATCTCTCACTGTTAAAAAGATACCCATGGTGAGCATGATAAGTGGGACACACTGTATATCACATATATATACACTGTTGATGGCTTTTGTTGTGCTATAGTTCCGAAAAATGTGTCAATAATACCGTCTCCCAGAAAGAACTGCAAGTCCTTTTATCTACCATTCGACTTCGCGGTTACGTAGGTATATATTACTAAACAACTACTAAATACGCAATTTTTTGGAATCAAATCACAGAATTAGACTGACAGAAGTGACATCAGAGATTAGATTACTTCAAAAGACTTATAAAGATGCCTACAACGCAGGTGTCCCTACTGTAAAAAACTTGAAATTTCACGTCGATAATTTTCAGATTTTAAAATAATGTGATATCTTCTCAATATTGATTCGTCCTTTCTTCTGTCACAGAAAAAAATAATGTAGTATACACTTTGTATAATAAATAGGTAACGATTATTCTTTCAAGCAGAACTGAATATTCGGTAGTGACAGATTTTTTGCAACGTATTTTTAATGTATGCAACTTTCAAGTAATGATTTTCATGGGTTTTCAACATCTCCTAGACAATTATCAATTTCTGCTCGCATCATGCAGCGGCTCCACCAATCAAATTTGAATTTATTGAAATTCGAATTTGCATTGAAAATGAAAGATTTCAAACGAATTGTAAATGAATACGAGGAAATAAATGATACCACGGAAAAAATTGTATACTTTGCCCTCGTGTAGGAAGACCCGAAACTATTAACTGAAAATGTGATGAAGGGGGTATTTTTGAACAATTATTTGACGTTTGCTCTTTCGGAGACTTTTTCTTGGTATTACTTGTATCACGATAAACTACTTTGTGGCGTGCACACTGCACATGCGCTGTAGTATTTTTTCAAACATCCACTGTTTTTTGTAATCACAATAAAAGTAATCAATTGTTCAAAAATACCTACTTACCTTTTTATAACATATTTAGTTAGTATTTTCGGGTCTCCTAACACCAAGGCAGGGTATGCAAACTTTTTATGTGGTATCATTTATTTTCAAATTTCAACAAGAACCAATCGTTCAAAATCATCAATTTTCGATAAAAATTCGAATTTGATTGGTGACGAAGCACACATTGATATAATTATTGTCTATAAACTGTTGAAAACTCATGAAAACCATAACTTGAAAGTTGCATACATTGAAAAAACGTTTCAAATAATGTGTCACTACCGGTCAGTCTTGGATCATATTGTATGGTGATAAAGTTGGCGTTCGTTTCCTTTCTAATTTATTAATCACAGTTCAACATGCATAATATATGAAGCAGAATATTTGTCATGCAAATATCACCGAAAAACTATGACCTCGTACCCTCATCAACAATGAGTAATCATGATAGTCTTCTCAAAAGCCTTCGGTCTTTCCTCAACACACTCTTTTCAGGTTCTTCCGATATTTTCTTCCTATAACCTACCTATTTCTCATTCAATATCGAAAGCATAGATCTCTCATGGATGTGAGATATGTAATATCCATATCCATCTACCCTCGGATACCACTTTTAATCTCCAGTAGTAATAATATTGGTAGGATATTAGGAGTAGTACATAGAAGTTTTATTGATCCATTGAAACTAGCTTACAAAAGCCATTGGACAAGTCAAAAAACAAGAAGAAGAAGAAGGAGAAGAAAAATACAAGTACTCATTTACATAACTAACAATAAGGTAAAATCACCAAAATAGAATAAGAACGATACATATACAAGAATCATCAGTTCTGTAAAAATGAAAAAAGCTCATCAACTGTATATGGGCTAATTTCGAAATCAAGATTTTTTCATTTTATATTCAAACACTTTCTCATGAGTTGAAGATTTTATATCTTCTGGAATTGCATTATATGCCCTAAGTCCCAGAGATTCGGAAGAATTGGCTCCATATTGTACCCGTATTGGCAATATTTGGAAAATATGGAGCCAATGTCCACAGCGGTGCTACTGCATATTATTCAATGGAAAAAGATTCAGAATGATTTATTTCCATATTAAATCAATAAGTACACTAAATTAGAGTTTCAGACCACTTATTTGCATGTCACGTATACTGATTTGAATGAAATACCATAAACCGACTTAGCATAACGTTTGTTAATTGTCAAGAAAGTTTCACTTGATTTCGTTTTCAATATTATTCAGTTCTTGTCTGAACTGGCTATTAGTGAATAGTTGAATGATTTTGAACGTTTTTGGAATAGTTATCAGATGAATGAAACGTTTTCCATAGAAATATAGATATTCGTGAGAGAATGCGATATTTTCTCTGATTGGACATTTTGAAATTGGAGTGTGAACTGATGAAACCTCCCAATTAGAAAAATATTTCTATCTGATGATGGACTAAAAAGTTATTATAAGTAACCATGACAGTATCTGCATGGAATTGATATCTTCAAGGTTGAAGCAATTTGCAAATATAAGAAGAAATAATGAGCTTGGATATATCGAAATCATTTGTATCGAGTGCTCCTCGGAGTCCTCTTTCAGAGAGGTCGCTTTTTTTTAGCGATTGGAGCGCACGAAAGGGAATTCCTATAATGTTCAAAGAACATCGTGCGTTCCTAGGGAGGATAGGAATAGGAGGTAGGTCGGAGGTAGGTTTTGGAATTTTTTTTTGAACTTCTGGAGATTATATTATGTTGTTGGGAATACTTCCTCAGGCAATGAATTCCAGAGCCTAGCCGTTCTATGAATGAAGGAGTTTTGATAAAGTGCTGTTCGACTTCTTTCGAGTGCTGACTGGGCTTGTCTAGTTCGTCTGACTGGTATTGCTAGTGATGGGATGATAGCAGAGATTTCCGAAGAACATTTCCCGTGGAAGTATCGATAGAAAAGTGAAATGTCGCCGATCTTTCTACGGTGTTCCAATGATGCCAAAGAGTGAGTGAGTGTGGCATCACCCACCAGGCGGATGGCTCTTCTCTGGATGGAATCTGAGAGCATCAGCGTATGTTTTGGTGCTGAACACCATATGTGGGAACAGTATCTGCGCTTTGTATATCATGAGGAGCTGTTGAAGTGTAAAGTAGCTTCATTTGATGATGGATAAAGTATCATCTGATACCATAGTCATCAATTCTGACGTCTCT